TCTCCTTTGTACTTATACAATGTGACAATGTTTGCATCCTCCATGTCCTGTGGTACTCCACCTTCACTCCAGCAATATCTTTACAGCACTTCAGCAGGGATGTTATCCTTCCCAGGTGCCTTGCCAGAGGTGAGGCAATCCAAGGCCGCTTTTATTTCTGCTAAAGTTGGTCCGCTATCCAATTCTTCCAAGACAGGTTGGCACTTTAACGTCTCTTCGGTTACTACATTCTCTCTGGAGTATAGCTCAGAGTAGTGCTGCACCCAGCATTGCATCTGCTGTGCTTGGTCCTGGATGAACACACCTGTAGCAGACTTCAAGGAGCAGATTTCTTCTGTATTGGACCTAAAGTATGCTTGATACCGTCATACATTCCCTTGATGTTACCTGTGTCTGCTGCTATCTGTATGTGAGAGCAGAGCTGAAGCCAATAATTGTTATAACATCTCCTGGCAGCCTGTTGGACTTTGCTACAAGCAACTCAAAAAGCCTGCACGTTGTACTCACACGTTGTACTCACACTAGGACAGGCTTTGTATGCTGCTAGAGCTCTCCTCTTTTCTTCGATGGCTTGGCATCAACTCCTCCAAATGCGCTTTGAACCAGTCAGCCGTCTTTTTGGTCTTCTTGCCAAATGTGGACAAGGCGGTGTTATAAACCGCATTCATTAAATGTTCCCATCATTCAAGTGCATTTGCATTAGCCAGGCCTGGAAGGGTTTCCTCAAGCGCTCGGGCAAATTCCTCCACTTTTCTTTGATCACGAGTCTTGCTGATGTCAATACGTGGTCTTCCATCCTTTTTTGTCTGTGATACAATCTCTCTGTTCGCAGTTTTACTCTACTACACACCAGGGAGTGATTAGTATCGCAATTAGCACCCTGGTAACTGTGTGTGATCATAATACTAGGAAGGCTAGAACGTTTAGTGAGGATCACATTGAGCTGCTGCCAATGCTTCGATCTTGATGTCTCCAAGAAACTCTGGTTGAAGCTTCATATTAAAGAACGTGTTGATGACACAAAGACCATAATAGCAGCAAAACTTCAGCAAGCACTGGCCATTTTCGTTCATATTCCCAATGCCAAAATGGCCTAGATAAGTGGGCCAAGAATTGTGATCAGCATCAACTCTAGTGTTAAATTCTCGGGAATGATTTTCTCTCTCTCAGGGATTTTTTTGATAGTAACTGCCAGATTGTCGTAGAATTTGTCTTTGACTTCTGTTGTAGACGAAAGCGTTGGTGCATATGCACTAATGAGGGTGACTGGTCCCACTGATGTGTGGAGCTGCAGAGACAGGATTCTTTCACTCTTCACAGTAGGTAGAACACTGGGTCTCAGCAGAGTATTTCTGATTGCAAAACCAACACCATATTACTGGTCTCATTCAATGGTTTTCCCTGCCAGATGAATGAGATTTTTTTTCTTTGACAGATCTCAAGTCTGACAATCTCATCTCTTGCAGGGCAACAATGGCCATCTGCAGCCTACTCAGTTCCATGTCTACGACTGCTGTCTTGCGCGCATCGTTAGAAAAGCCAGGGGTCATTGTCCGAATATTCCAGGTGCCCAACTTTAGGGCAGAAGTTTTCTTATGATTGTTGCATGGTGCAGAGTTATCTGCTTGTTTGCTTTCACCCTGAACCCCACGCACCCCGTGAGGTCAACGCCAATCGAGCAAAAACTTATAACCGGTAACTGCTACTTCCCGTGTTATTTCAACGCTGTATGCAAAGCTGGAGTGTCCTCTCCAGAGCACGAAGACTGGGTAAAATAATATGGAGGATATGCTGTTAGCTAAGCAGCAAATTCCCCCTCTCCATGTCACTGAAATAATCCAATGGAAAGGCAAAAGCCAATACAAATGGTTCCAGCAATGTCGAAGGAGTTGCCAAAATGGCAGGGACTGCCTCCGGGACTCTGGGTCTGGATTTTGCCTCGAGCTTTACTTCTGAAGACTTTTCCATCAGTGGATGTAGCCACAAGGCAGTGGAGGTTTGAAATCGGAGTTTTCCTTCTCCTATATGGGCTACCTTCCAAGGCTGACGAGCCCCACCTCCCTCCCTAAGAGTGCGAAGATTATGAGTTTTCCTTCTCCTATATGGGCTACCTTTCAAGGCTGACGACCCCCACCTACCTCCCTAAGAGTGCGAAGATTAGAAACACAAGCCTCCAGCTGCCTATTTAAGATAGCAATATATTTTAATGTGTAAATATATGAAAATGGTCTGTACAGTTTAATACCTCAAGATCTCTGGCGATTTTAGCCCAGTCGTCTGTTGTCATGTTGCAAGAATCAAGCAGAGGTGAATACTCTAGGATGGTGTAAATTATTCTTTTCTTTCTTTTAGAAAGGCTAAATGGGATAAAAATTAAAAAGTGAGCAAAAGATTGTACACCACTGCCATAGTACAACAATATTGTATTGGATATTGCTTCTTTCACATGAAGTAAAATCCAGGTTATTCTACCTCAGGACTGTGTGAGGTCCACTACTGAGGTGGCAGAAATGTTTCACGAACACCAAAAAATTATGGCCTATTCATCTAACATGGTCATGGCAGCAGCAGTTTTTCTGAGGATCCTGGCAAAAATTAGGAACTGCATAAAACTGGAAGATTTTACTTGGTTAGACTTGGAAAGGAAGAGCTGGGCATTTATTCAACTTCACCCATAGCTAACAAAAGCCGACTTGGATAAAAGCAAAATATCAATACAGTGATGCCTCGCTTAATGACGATAATCCGTTCCTGGAAAATCGCCGTTAAGCGAAAACATCGTAAAACGAAATTTAAAACCCCATTGAAACGCATTGAAACCCGTTCAATGCATTCCAATGAAGTAAAAACTCACTGTCCAGCGAAGATCCTCCATACGGCGGCCATTTTCGCTGCCTGTATAGCTAGCAATCCATCCCAAAACACAGCGGGGAGCCATTTTACGCACCCGGTGGCCATTTTGAAACCGCTGATCAGCTGTTTAAAAAACCCATCGATTTGTGAAGAATCGGTTCCCGAAGCAGAGAACCGATCATCGCAAAGCGAAAAAAACCCTATTTAGACCATCGTTTTGCTATCGCAATTGCGATCACAATAAGATTGTCATACAGCGATTTTGTCATAATGTGGGGCAATCGTTAAGCGAGGCACCATTGTATGTACTTACGGAAGAAAGAGAGGTTACTTACCTGTAACTTTGGTTCTTCGAGTGGTCCTCTGTGAATTCACACTAATGGGTTAAATCTGCGCATGCACAGAGGTCTCAGAATATTCTAGAGCTTAAAGTAACACTTTTGGCTCCGCCCCCTAGGACCTCATGGTCCGCCCGCCCTAACAGTTAGCTCAGTTCCATTTTTTCCACTGCTGCAGTTAGGTCTCCTAGCTAGAGCTCCATGAATTCATTGGAAATCATTTGAGAATTTCTCTTCTTTTTGGCTCAGTTTCATCTTCAAGACTTAAGGAAAGTAAAATACTTTATTTCAAGGCACCATTGTACTTACGGAAGAACCAAAGTGTCCTCTGGAAATTCACAGGAATCATAGAGTTTTGTTGATTTGGTATATTCTGCATCATGCAGCATCGGCATTTTTTTCAAGGCTTCTACTAATTTATTAGCCTGAGGAGCAAGCCCTGGAAACAAAACATACACACACATTATAAAACCGCTTACTAGTTGAATATCAGCTGATCTCTTTGTACAGAACACAAGGTTGTCGAAACTGTGGCCACAAGCGTAATGTTTTACTGTCTGTGGACTGATTTGTATGCATTTTGCTTCAGGTATGCGAAGTGGTCAAGATCTTTTCAAGCCCACCCCCTTAGATTTTGGCTTTAGTTTTCCTTTTCCTTCCCCACCCTCTTTTCCTTGTGTGCCATGTCATTGTAAGTCTGAGAGTGGAAGCTGTCACACTGCTCTGAGAACCTTTTCACCTGAGAAGATCTGAATGCTCAAATACCGGCTAACAAGCAAGGGGGAAGAAATCTTACTATCACACACTCCTTATGGACGCCCTAGAGTTACCTGACAGACAGAAACAGGAAACATTATATATGGGCCCTATCCAATAATAATAATTGTGTGCCATCAAGTCAATTTTGATTTTTTTAGGGTTTTCTAGCTAAAGACTACTCAGAAGTGGTTTAACGTTCCTTTCTTCTGGGGGCATCTTGGGATTGTGCAGCTTGCCCAAGGCCACACAGGCTGGCTCTTCTGGGACGCACAGCGAGGAACTGAACTCCCAGTCTCTAGATCTGCAGCCAGATACCTACCTCACTGAGCTATCCAGCCAGCTGTTCAAATAAGAAAGCCATCGTTGAAAAGTCTGGTAAAGATGAAAGCAAAATTACAGTATACACATCCTGGACTAAAGGTGAAAATGTCTGCAGGTGCAACTAAGGGGAGAATCTGGAGTGGAAAGTCAGTGAGAGATCTGATGATGGTTACAACGGTACCTAGCTAGATTATGCTCGTTTTTAATGTCTTAATAGCTCTACCTTGTGCCTCAGAGAGAGGTCCTGCATTACAACCCCCACCCCAATCTGCTCAATGTGGGATCTATAATGTAAGCTGCCCTTCTGTTCCAGCTTAACTATCTTCAGCCAAGGAAAAACCAACATCTTCAGATAGTCTCTTCCCTTCTATTTGAAAGTTTTTCCTAGCATCTAGCTCGTTTTTAATGTCTTAATAGCTCTACCTTGTGCCTCAGAGAGAGGTCCTGCATTACAACCCCCACCCCAATCTGCTCAATGTGGGATCTATAATGTAAGCTGCCCTTCTGTTCCAGCTTAACTATCTTCAGCCAAGGAAAAACCAACATCTTCAGATAGTCTCTTCCCTTCTATTTGAAAGTTTTTCCTAGCATCTAGCTCAAGCTTGCACCCCTGACATTTCTATGGATCCATTCCAATGGCACATGGTTAACTAGAGCAAACCTGTTGAATCAGTGGGGATTTGGTGAGTCAACATCTCTGTAAGTTCCCTTGATTCAATGGGCCTACTCTAGTTGCGGTTTACTACTGGACTTCAGCCTATGGATTCAAATCCTGCCCTTTGGAGCTGAAGAGATGTATTTTCACTTCTTGATCTTTGTGACAAGTCTTCACCTACGATGATGACTGTTCCTCTTGGATCTCCTCCTCTTCAAGCTATACAGCCCTCATTCTTTGTAGGATATGCCATTCCACGATCCAGCCATCATCCTTTGAACTTAAAACTCTTATTGCGGGTAATTTAGACATTAAGAGAAGCATTTCAACCTTTTAGAATGGGGGGAAAATGTACAAAAGCTGGATCCTCTCCCCCTTCCACAAAATCATGTCACAGGATAGGGGTATGGTCATATGAATAAGTTTGGAGGGCTAGATTTGGCCCCTAGAAAAAATTTGGTCCTGGAGCTCAGTGTTTACCTCCTCTGCAGTATGTCTTAACTATCTTTCCACCACTAACCTACATGAACCAAAACTACTTTCTTACTTGGGAAGCAGGGGTGTTAAGTCAGCATTAAAGGGAACATCCCTCTCGTTCAGATAGTCTCTTCCCTTCTATTAGGAAGTTTTTCTTAGCATCTAGCTCAAGCTTGCACCCCTGACATTTCTATGGTTGAAATCCAATGGCACATGGTTAACTAGAGCAAACCTGTTGAATCAGTGGGGATTTGGTGAGTCAACATCTCTGTAAGTTCCCTTGATTCAATGGGCCTACTCTAGTTGCGGTTTACTACTGGACTTCAGCCTATGGATTCAAATCCTGCCCTTTGGAGCTGAAGAGATGTATTTTCACTTCTTGATCTTTGTGACAAGTCTTCACCTACGATGATGACTGTTCCTCTTGGATCTCCTCCTCTTCAAGCTATACAGCCCTCATTCTTTGTAGGATATGCCATTCCACGATCCAGCCATCATCCTTTGAACTTAAAACTCTTATTGCGGGTAATTTAGACATTAAGAGAAGCATTTCAACCTTTTAGAATGGGGGGAAAATGTACAAAAGCTGGATCCTCTCCCCCTTCCACAAAATCATGTCACAGGATAGGGGTATGGTCATATGAATAAGTTTGGAGGGCTAGATTTGGCCCCTAGAAAAAATTTGGTCCTGGAGCTCAGTGTTTACCTCCTCTGCAGTATGTCTTAACTATCTTTCCACCACTAACCTACATGAACCAAAACTACTTTCTTACTTGGGAAGCAGTATAGCTTTGCTATCCGTTCCTGCCACTCACCTCCGTCGCACTCACTGCCCCCCATCCCAATTGTGCCTCCAGTGTTGAGTACAAGCACGCGGGCCCGGACTTCCTCCCTTGCAGGCCAAACCTCTGGTGAGCCCCACAAGCTCTCGTGGCTCAAGGAAGAGCTTCTCATCCGCTGGAGCCGTGGGACAGGGTGTGCTGCTGGCTCCGCCATGCTTTCCGTCTGCCCAGAATCGAACTGTAACCGGTACGGCTTATCCTTCTAAAGCCTTGCTTCTGTCACCTTCATGCACATTCTATTTTTATCCGACACAACTGCGTCTTCCATCTGACATTGATACCCTTGTGCTGCGTGACCTCATTCTGAAACTAGCCAGTGTAGCTGCAAAGGGCTGAATTAGCTCAGAATCCGTTAGGGTGCAGTGTTAAGCCACAAGAGAAAGTGCATCCTATAGGAAAACTGCAAACTCCCAGCAGCTATCCTGTTTCAAGCTTTTGTCAGTCCTTCTGCAAAGAATCGCAAAACATACAACCGATCCCCACAGCCAAACGGACATCATTTCTCAATTACAGTTTTAATTACAGTTGGTTTTTTGTTGTTGTTTCCTGTTTTTACAGAAGGCAGTTGCACTTTTAAGACCATGCGTTCTGTATCTGCTGCACTGTTTGTTTTTCTTAAAAAATAATTAAGAGGTTTTTTTCACGACCCTATTTATTGAAGGCTGAACTTCTCTTTTTGGTCCTCTCCCTGCTGCAGTCACTGACAGTCACATTATACTTCCAAACAAGCTTAGAATAAAGCCATCAAATTCAAGTACAAAATAAACACAATGCCCACCAGATGGTAGCATAATCCTAAAAATAAAATAGAACTTCACTTCTCTTCTGCAGTCTCCTTTTCCAGCTGAAACATTGGCAGCAGGGCGGACCGCGGAAGGTGAAGTCAAAGTCAAGCGGGTGCACTTCCTGTAATTCTATGCCCCTGCCTCTTCCCTCGCAATGATACTGCAACAAGGCCCGGACATTGAACGACTACCATGTTTCCCAAAAAAACAAGATAGGGTCTTGTATTAATTTTTGATCCAAAAACACATTAGGGCTTATTTTCAGGGGATGTTTTTATTTTTTTCATGTACAACAATCTACGTTTATTCAAATAGTCATGCCATCTTCTGGTTGCTGCCTAAGGGTGGAGAGTGGGGTTTCACTTCACTGGAGCTTATTTTGGGGGTAGGGATTCTATGATGAGCATCCTGAAAAATCATGCTAGGGCTTATTTTCAGGTTAGGTCTTATTTTCGGGGAAAGAGGATATGTGCCTTCGAGTCAATTCTGACTTACGTTGACCCTTTCCATGGATTTCTAGGCAGACAACACTCGGGAGAGGTTTACTATTCCCTTCTTCTGTTGGCATCCTGGGACTGTACAGCTTGCCGAAGGCCACATAGGCTGACTGTTCTTCCAGGAGGCACAGTTTGGAATCAAACGCCCAACCACTGGCTCTGTGCACAGATACCTAAACCACTAAGCTATCTCTAGGATTTAGCATTTAACTAAACTGAATAATAGCTTCTAATGGTGGTTCAATGGTCTTCTGAGTCCACACCATGCTTGATTCAGTACTAGAGGCATTTATTACCACGTCCTTCCCTATATCCATCATCCTTTCATCCATCTACTCCAGCCCCCAGTTTGCAGCAAGTCCTTAATAACAGGTGAAAATGACAGCCTTTTGCTCCCCTATAATACGTATTGAGTCTATAAAGCTTCATGCAAAGCACACACCAATAATATGCAGACAGATGCCTTTAGAAGTCATCTTCTA